TCTGTGCTGACTGCCAGCTCAGAGCCTGGAGCCTGTTTCAGAGTCTGTATCTCCCTCTCTCTCTGACTCTCCCTGCTCATGCTCTCTCTCTCTCTCCTAGAAATAAATTAAAATATTAAAAAAAACAAAACACAATGAGATCAAGGAATTTGATTCATGCCCATGACTCACACACTTGATTGGATTGACCCAGGGCTGTTTCTCTTTTCCTTTTTTGGAAGGCAAACATCTTTTTTTAGTACCAATACAAGATCAGTCTCCCATGCAAGAGGGACAATTTGCAGGATTTCTGTTTTAAAAAGCGACTTTGGGGGCACGTGGGTGGCTCGGTCTGGTAAGCAAGTGTCTGGCTCTTGGTTTTGGCTCAGGTCGTGATCTCGTGGTTCATGGGTTGAGCCCCAAGTTGGGCTCTGTGCTGACCTTGCAGAGCCTGCTTAGCTTTTTCTCTCTCTCCGTCCTCCCCTGCTTATTCTCCCATACTCTCTCTCTCTCTCTCTCAAAATAAATAAATAAACTTGGGGCGCCTGGGCAGCTCGGTCGGTTAAGCGTCCAACTTTGGCTCGGGTCACGATCTCACCGTTCCCGGTTCCCGAGTTCGACACCCAGATAGGGCTTTGTGCTGACAACTCAGAGCCTGGAGCCTATTTTAGATTCTGTGTCTCCCTCTCTGTCTCTGGCCCTCCTCTGCTCACGCTCTGTCTCTCTCTCTCTCTCTTAAAAATACATAAACATAAAAAAATTTACGTAAATAAATAAACTTAAAAAACTAATAAAAAGAAATTAAAAGTGCCTTTGGACAGGAGAGAAAACATTCAGCTGGTGGGGGCTGTCCCCCTAATGTGACTGTATCAAGGCACCGAGGGAAACGCCACCCTCCTCATATTTGTGTTTGTGAAAATCTACAAATTCCACAACTGTAGCTTGGCGATATTAAAATTCATACAATCAAGCAATAATACAGAATGATTGCAGGGGAAACAATGCAGGTGTGTCCCGCCTTTCATAGTAAAAGGAAAGAGAAACAGAAAGGAACAGTAAAACCCAGGCGAGCCCCCGAGTCCCCGTTAGGTTCTTTCTTCCGTTTCTCCCCAAGTGCGTCTAATCAGCAAGCCACCACTCCCTCATTTCCTTTTGTTGCTATAACAATAACTCGTGCATTTCAAATGCCCGGCAATAGGAGAGAAAGAATAATAATGTGAAACGAAGGAATTACATCTGAATGGCATTATTCCCGGCTTTATTAAATTTGCTTTTACAAATGTTTATGAAGTCGGGGAGTTGGCTCTGCCCCAAGAAGCAAATTCCACATTAATAAGCACTGGGGGTTGGAGAGCTTGAAGGAAGGAGGAAATAAAGATCCTTCGGTCCAAGGTCTTAGGCTTCACGTTTGTTTTCTCCCAAATTAACTCGCCTGCCAGCTCCCTGAGCCAAGACTCGCTCACTTTGAACCTTATTAAAACCTCGAAACCGCACTTTCCTGCTGAGTGTGGGCGCGCTGCTGGATTGATCTGGATCAAGGGACCTAGATCACGTCCCACTCCTCCACCAGGACCCTGAGACCCAGCGATGCGGGGGCTTCTCCACGGCTACCCAGCCAGGCCAGCTCCCGCCACCGCTGGGCTCCTGACCCCGTCCCCTCGCAAGTGCCCCACACCCAGCTTCAGAGCAAATGCATGTGGCTGTTGGCCCTCACTGCAAACTAAATACAACCCATCTGTACCCCGCAACGTCTTCTGGGGTCATTTGGACCCAATAATTGAAATCCTTTTGATCTGCAACTGAGCGGGCCATGTTCTGGATGCCTTACTTGATTGACGTCAGGGAGGGCATCCGGGTGGGAGGCTGGTGTGGCCTCTGGACCCTGGAGCCTTTCACACGCCCCTGCTACTCTGGGATTCCTGCTCTTGCTAGTCTCCCTGCCCCAAGTGGCCCGACATCGGGTCTCCCCAGCCTGCTTTGCAATCAGGACCCAGACAGTGACTCGGTGACTCGGGGGTTCTGTCCCTGTGATGTGGGCCTGCAGGGAGGAAGCAGCCCTGGGATACGTTGCAGTGGAAAGGGCGCTGGGTGTCGTTCAGCGTGGGGGGTGGGGGAGGCTGCAGTGGCTACAAGTAAGTACCTGGGACACGATTAGTGGTGACTGTGGGTTCTCCCAGTGCAGGGGAGGATCTCTGTGCAGGGGGGTGTCTCTGTATAGGGGAGCATCTCTGTGCAGGGGAAGCATCAGTGTGCAGGGGGAGCGTCTCTGTGCAGGGGAGTGTCTCTGTGCAGGGGATTGTCTCTGTGCAGGGGAGTGTCTCTGTGAAGATAAGCATCTCTGTGCAGGGGGAGCATCAGCGTGCAGGGGGAGCATCTCTGTACAGGGGAGCATCTCTGTGCAGGGGGAGCATCAGTGTGCAGGGGGGCGTCTCTTCCCAGTGGGGGCGTCCCCGTGCAGAGAGTGCAGGAGTGGCTGTTTTCTCAGCAGGCCTGCTTTGGGCTGGGTCGAGGCGCCGCTCCTGGAGGGCAAGTTCCATAGATGTCGCTCCCCCCCACCCCACCGCACCTCTGGGATCTTCTCTCTAATGAGCTGCTTCTCCAGAACCTGCCAGAAGGTGCTCGGCTGCCTGCAGATAAGAACCCTCCCTGACCCCACATGCTCCCACCTTGCATTCCTCTCCCCCGACCAAACACCAGCTGACACAGACCCTCGTAGTGAAAAGAGACATGTCAGCATGAGAAACTCTTCTCTGACGATGTGAATGATACTTTACATTTTTATAGCTTTTTACAGCCCGTTAAAGCAGTTCTGAGCTCTAAGCAAACACATCAGTCAATGAGGAAAAGCGTTCTTGGGGTAACACCATCCGTTTATTATTAAGCCATTATCACTTTCAGGTCAAAACCCATTAAGTACTTGTCTGCCTGATGCACTGTCATCTGCACGGAGCTACTTAATCAGGGACGCTGCTTCGAGGATCTTACAGTCTTATAGCCGTGTGTCCGTAGTGCGTGGACAAGCAAAGAAATACCACCAGTCGCAGAATTTTATGTTTGGAAAAATCCTCGCTACAGATGTGGAAACTGAGGCTGGGGGACTTGCCCAATATCACACAGGAAGTTAGCGACCGATTCAGGATCAGAACCCGGGACCCCGTCTCTGCCCATGAGGGCACGGAATACACATAAACACTTAAAACGGCATATTTCCCATCCAGCCTTCCCCCCATTCCTCTAGAGTATTTGGGAAATGGGGGTGTATCAGTCAGACTGAGCCAGGTCACAGCACAGTAACAAACAGCCCCGTCTCAGGGGCTCCCACAGATTAGGTCTACTTTCCATTCACACTATGTGTCTGCAGACCCCAGACCCCACCTAGCAGAGCGGTCCCATCTGGAATCCTACCCCTCGCCAGGCGGGGGGGAAGGAGAGTTCTGGAGAGTCTCCACCTGGCAGCGAAGTCCAGCCGGAGCGCCCATGCGCCTTCTGCACGGATCGCGCTGCCCAGAGCCGGTCGCCCGGCCCCGCCAGCCACGGGAAGCAAGGAGGTGCCGGCCTTCCGTGTGTTCAGGGGGCAGAGCACAGAAGAGCGTCACGGAATTCAGGGCTCGAGTCGTGCCCCGAGCATCCCTGGCTGGTGCTCCGCTGCCCACCTCACTGCGGGGCACTCCCGGAGCGCGGGGCCCCCGTCCTCCACTGGACGACCCTCCTCTCCACGCGGGCCTCGACCACGGAGCCCGCACGGCGCTCCACACTCCCAGGGGGCGCTGCAGGGGGGGGAGAGGTCTTCTCTTCTCCCTCCTTCCCTCCCTCCCTCCTCCCTCCTTCCCTTCTAGCTCCCCTTCCTCCTTCCCTCCCTTCCCTCTCTACCTCCATCCATCCTCTTCCTCCTTCATAACCATTTCTTTTATTTAAAAAAAATGTGTATTTATTTATTTTGAGGGAGGGAGGAGGGAGGGGCAGATCAAAAGGGAGAGACTCCCAAGCAGGCTCCCCGCTGTCAGCGCAGAGCCCGTGGCGGGGCTGAATCTCAGGAAAACGGCTAGATGCCCGCCCGAGCCCCCGGCGCCCCCTTCACAACCACTTCTAAGTGTGCCCTGCAGGGGCGTTAGACACTCCCGTTGTGCAGTGTGAACAAGCCGAACTCTTTTCATCTTGCGCAACTGAAACGCTCTCCCCAACACCCCGTTTGCCCTCCCCACGCCCCTGGCGACCGCCTTTCTACGTTCTGTCTCTGAGTTCGCTGACTCTAGGCGCTTCCTAGAAAATGGAATCCGGGGGTCCCGGTGGCGGCCCGGGATACTGGCCGCGGCCGCAGGGGCTGGTGGGCAAGACACGGAGCGGCAGCAAACGCACGCAGACGCCTCGGGCCACCATTCGTCTACACCTGCGTTCAGGCGGCACAGGGAGGAGGGCTCTGGGGGCAGGGGGAGGCGGTCAGAGGATGTGGGACCCTCCTGGGCAACAGCCCCCCCCCCCCCGCCCCGTGAGGAAGGTGTCAGCAAAGCCCAGCCTGATGAGCGGCCCCCAAGGCCTGTCCCCAGCAGAAGCCAGACAAGCTCACGCCCGCCCTGGGGTGCCGACGCCCCAGCCTGGCTCGTCTGCCCTGCCGCCTCCACACTCCCGGCCGGCGCCGCGCCCCCGCCCCGGACCCGCGTCCTACACACGAGTTGAATGTTGTTTCAACAGACCGGGTTTCCCTCGGGATCTTACGTACTTTATGGTGAAAACACTGTTCTGAGAAAGTGTCCCTGGGCTTCCCCGGATGCCTGAAGGACGCACACAGACCAACTCAAGACCCCCTGAGACGGAGAACAGGGCCCCGTTCTGGTTTCCTGAGATGAATTAAAGACAATGTTTTAAATTTTTATTTATTTTTGAGAGAGAGAGAGAGAACGAGCCGGGGAGGGACAGAGAGAGGGAGACACAGAATCTGAAACAGGCTCCAGGCTCCGAGCTGTCAGCACAGAGTCCGACACGGGGCTCGAACTCACGAACCTGAGATCATGACCTGAGCCGAAGTCGGACCTTTAACAGACCGAGCCCCCCAGGCGCTGCCCATCCCCCCAGATGAATTTTTAATAGCATTTTTGTTCCCCAGATCTTCCCGCTGTGTGGCCTCTGTGGGTCCCCACACCCCTATTCACCATCCTCTTCAGCTGATGAGGTTGCCAGACAGCAGGCGCCCCTTCCGACACGTGCCATGGTCCACGGCCTGCGTGTTGGCATGTTTCTACCTGAAGCGCTATCGACTTTGACTGTTTAGTGGGACTCTTCCTTTCAAAAGTTTGCAGCACCTGCCTTGGGCACAGAGGGTTTCTGGCGTCTGGCGTGGCTCTCGCACACGAATCAGAATCCGGATCCCCCTGGGATCTGGCTGAGCCGCAGATGGGGCACCAGCAGGTGTGGGCGGGGCCTGAAATCCCATATTTGAAAGGCAAGGTCATCAGAATCTCAGGAGAATCTACAAGAAACAAACAAAGGCAAAAACACTAAGAAGGCTTCTCAGCCCCCGGCCCTGGGGATGCAGAGAGAACATTCCGCTGGAGAAGTTTCCCAGGTGATGCTGCTGACAGAACGGCCAGGAATGAACTATGTAACCAATGATTTCATCCACAGCCTCCTTTACCTCTGTGGTCCACTCTGCACGTATCCCAGGAGGTCATGAAACTAGCGCCCAGAGGCCTCTCGGACTCAGATCTTTTCCAGGGCGCGGTGTTGGATGGGTTCTTCTACAGCTGGAATGTCCCCCCCCCCAGTCTGCTTTTAAAGAAACTCCATGGGGCGCCTGGGTGGCTCAGTTGGTTAAGCGTCTGACTTCGGCTCAGGTCATGATTTCACTGTTTGTGGGTTCAAGCCCGCGTCGGGCTCTGTGCTGACAGCTCAGAGCCCGGAGCCTGCTTCAGATTCTGTGTCTCCCTCTCTCTCTGACCCTCCCCTGCTCACCCTCTGTCTCTCTCTCTCAAAAATAAACAAAAGTGCTGGGTATTGTACATGGACATGATCCAGGCACACATGATGAGAGGCTCGTTTAAAGGGAGTGTTGGGGCAGCCCCAGCCGAAACAGCCCCCCACTGCTTCAGGACCCGTCTCGGCACCCATCCTGTTGCAGGTGAGGCACCACTGGCTGGTTTAAGGGACCTCCCCCGCCCCCTTCGCCCTCCACTCTGGGGCAGGATTTGTCAGACAGCTCAAGGACGCCCATAGACAAAGGGCACACCTGGCCATGAGCTCGCGTGCTGGCTGATGTCTTTGGAGCCCACAGGGGCCTGGGGTGCTCAGACCTCCACAAAGGAGCCCCTATCCTTAGGAGGTGGGTGCAGAACAGGGGCCCAGCACCCCGGTGAGGGCAGAGCCCAGACAGCCAGGTCCCTGCCATTTCTGCCCTTTGCGGGGCCCTTCTGCTTTGAGGGAACCCTGCTGATAATGGCCACCCCCCACCCCCACCCCTACACTAGCTAGTCTCAGGCCTGTCCCCAGCTCCGTGAAGGAGCCGGGAGCCAAGGAGGGCAGTTCCGGGAGCTCAGCCCCATCAGCCATTCTGCCTGGTTCTCAGACCAGGGACAGCCTTCCGCCCGATTCCCAGCCCCAAGCCCAGTTCCCGGAGGCTGGGGTCACTCTCTTGCTCCCCGAGCTGCGCGGCTGAGCCCTACCTGGGGCCACCTGCCTGTTCCTGAAGCAACTTCTGAGTGACAAGTGGTTGTAGAGTTCGGAAGGCAGTGCGCTCCAGGTCACAAATGATGAGCCTGAGCTCCTCGACACCCCCTGCCCCCCCCCCCCGCCATCTGCATCCTGAACGGAAGCCAGGGCTCCCGGTGGGCGGGAGAAATGCGTCCACGCAGCCGGCTCCTCCAGCAGGTCCTGGTGGGCTAGTGGCCCCGTGATTCGGCCTCGGCCTCCCTTCCCCGACCCCCTGACCCCCCAAAGCCCCCGCCCCCTTCACTAGGCCTGCTGGTACCCGCTGTCAGCTCACGGGACACTCCCCACCCCCCTCCACCAGCAACAGGAGAGGCGAGCCCTCTGAACGGGGTCAGGATTCTAACCAGGTGCAAACACACCCCCCACCCAGCCAGGAAGAAACCCCGGGCGCCCTTCGCCCCCTGGTGGCCATGCCGCCCCTGACCCTTTAAGGGTGCAGCCCTACCCGCTGGGCCCAGCCACTCCGGAGGCGTCCAGCTCCTCTCGCAGGGGCCGCTGGGCCCTGCTGTCAGGACGGAACACAGAAACTGGGCAACGGGAGCCCACCCGCTCTGGGGGTGGGGGGTGGGCGTGGGTGGGGCGAGGCCCGAGGGCGGGGGCCTGGCGTCGCAGACACGAGCTCCGGATGGGCGCAGACGGGCTTTATTCCATCCTCCTGCCCGCGGCCGCCCCGGGCAGAGCGAGGTCAGGCTGCTCGGAGGGTGTGGGACAGGCACGCTCAGGACGTCCCGGTGTGGCCTGAGGTGAGGGGAAGGGCGCCGGGGGTCTGCTACCGACCCTCCGTTGCTCTGGGACTCGTTCTGGAGGCCTGGCTGAGCCGCAGGATTCTCAGTCTCTGCGGATGTGGACGCAGGGGCCAGAGTGGCGATGCCCATTCTGTGCACGTGTGGCCCGTGCGACCCAGCAGGGGTGGGACCGGGGGCTGGGGCGGTGACGGTTTTTCCAACAAAGACTCAGGATGGCAGAAGGGCCAGGGGCCCAGGGTGGGCTGGATGGGACAGAGTAAAAAACCTCTTGCACACACACCCCCCACAGGCGTGCACACACACACACACACACACACACACACACACGCCCGGGGGTGGTAGAGACCAGAGGCCCTCACACAATGCTCTGCCGACCCCCGGTCCCCTCGAACTCAGACGTGCCGGAGCCACGACCCCGGCCAAAGTCAATGAAGATCCCTTCGGAATCCGAGTCCACGGACTCCAGGATCTGGCCCACCAGGTTCTCCGGGCTGGAGGAGGAAGGGGAGCCGCGGGCCGGGTCTGGGCAGGGCTCAGGGGGCGGGGCGGGCGGGTGCAGTCTGCTGGGGCAGGGCCCCGACGGGGGGACCGGGGAGGGTCTGAAGGCCACGGTGGCGGGGCCCTGGCCCGGCGAGTCGGAGAAGCCCTGGGGCTCCGGGCAGGACGTCATCTCAGAGACCGAGTGCCTGCGGATGCCGGGGCCGCCCGCCGCCGCGGCCTCGGCTTCGTGCTCCGCCACGGGGTTCAGCAGCGGGGTGTTGTAGCTCTTGGAGCGCACCACTGGGTTCTTGGCCAGGATGTCCCCTGAGCGGGAGCGACGCAGGAAGTGCTTCTCTGCAGAGACAGACAGACCAGGGGTCAGGGCGGGAGGCGGCCACTTGGGAAACCCAGGCAGCTGTGTTCCGGGCCCTTCCTTCGCCAGGGGCTAGCCAGCACCTGCTGTGTGTGCGCTCGGCTCTGCAGGAACGGGCAGCCACGGGGGGGGGGGGGGGGG